CCCTTCTGGGCTGCCAGCGAACACGGCCGGCTCATGTCCAGCTTCAGCTTTTCATCCACCATCTTTTTTGTTTAGCCATCTGTATGCAGGCATTTGTGTGAGCCTGTCTCGCCTTCCACACAGTCTGCATGTGAGCATCCCTCTGGACTCCTGGGACTGAGTTGAGTGCAGGTGGAACACATCTGCCTGAAAGTAGGCGACTACAGTCCTTTGGGTGTCTTAGGGCACTGCAAGGAATTTTCTAAGCCATCGAAAGTGGATGCAGGTCCAGATGTTTAGGCAGCTGAATTCTTCCCTAAAATCTCCCCTGACTGTGATGGGAGCTTAGACTTCCACCTCCCACAAAGATGCCACATTTAAATACCTTGAATGTAGGTCTCTACCATCTAGGACTGACACTTACTTTTACTGATCAGAAACAGTATATCTTGGGATTTTAGGCTCCATCTAAGCCTTTAAAGGAAGCATTCTTGAGAAGGTATAGGCCCTCCTGCTTGCCCCTCTCCAGAGTGTGGGTCCTTCTGCTCCATCCCACCACAGACAACTCTGAGTCAGACCTTCCTCTTCTCCCCTCCTGACTCCTTACCTCTACTCCATTTTCAATGCTTTCCCATTCCCAACTTGTATTCCTCACCTCATCCTGTTATTTATCTTTTAATTGAACCAAAAACAATCTAAGCCTTTGGACTTGCCACCAAAGTCTCAATTTCATTTTTGTCCTCTCCGTCCCCAGACTCACTTCCCTCAGTCAGCCAGTTTCACTTTTCCCCTTCCACATTTTCCCTTTGTATCTGTACTGGTTGTTATTGCAATAAGACCCACCAGCACTCATCTAGTCTCAGTCCCATATCCTCCCCCACCTCTCCTCCCCACACCCTTTTTTTAGCCTCTGCATATGAAGAGAATCATGATAGGAGAAGGAAATATCTCCGCAGGCTACAGGAGAAAATATACAATTCATAAACTCCAGTGATGACCTGAATTCACAGCTGTAACTATGGAAAGCCTCTAGGATGAAATTGCCATGGACAGAGGTCCTTGACTTTATGGGATTTCAGCAAGGGGCCTGCACTTCCCTTGCTGAGGGGAGTATGGGCTGTCAGCTACTTTGGAAGCAGATTTGGAGCTAGGTTAAGGTAAAATAACAAGTCAAAATAAGCCACTTTTCCCTGTGCCTCACCAAAGCAATTCACAAGCTATGATGTTAGGGATATTTTTGGTGATTTGCTTACATTCTCTGAGAAAAGGCATTGTCAGTACATTGATTTTTGATGCCTCTGCATGCAAGGTCTTGGGGAAGAAGCTTTCTCACCTGTCTGACCTACTCTCAAAGCTGTTATCTGAAAGGCGTCCCTTTCTGGGAACTGCAGAAACTACAGATCATGAATCCTTCACACCTCAGGAAAAACAACTGCT